CCTGTGCTCTCGGCGCCGGTAAGTGGGGTGCGGATTAGGGGCTTCTGCCGGGTGATCTGCCACTCGGGGTGATGGACCGGCGCTGCGAGGGCCCCCAGTGCCGTGGCCCCGCGAAGGATCGGAGGGCGAGGGAGAGGCTCTCGGGCTGTAGTTTCTCTCCGCAGTCCCGTGGGTCTCTCCCTCTTGGCAGAAAAACTCCCGCTTCCTCGGAGTCTGGAAGATTTTGGTGTGTGTTTACCTTTTGGCGTTAAAGAAGGGAAAGATCCCGGCCCGATTTGAAGCCCCATTGGTAGGATATGGAGGACTTGCTTTCGGAATTTTTCTGGCTAGGCCTTTGGCTGTCCCGCAAGAGGTCTGAGCAAGAAATCCTCACACATTTACGTGCAACCATTTTTCACTGGGTTTCTTTCTGCTCTGATTTCTTTCTTACTAATCAGAGTAGACATTATGAGAGGGATGCTGAAGGACTTTACAGAACCACTGTTTCTTTTATAATGCACCTTTGAAAGTTTGACTTTGACACTAGCATTGAGGGCTTTTACTTTTAAATTAGAAAGTAGTTGAATGCCTTATTCTGCAGAAAAGAGTATTCGTTTCCACTTATAACTAAATAAAGAGCTGCTTTTGCTAAAGCTGAATTATACTGAGAAAATATCACCCTGAATTTTGCATCCAGAGCTAGACTTCTCTAAGGTATTGGCACTTGTTTTCTATTTTTGCCTGGAGCACTCTTTGTAGCAGTTTGATAAGTACAGTTTTCATTTCTCACATTTTCCAGTGAGTGGGCTTTCAGGATGTGCCCCCAAAGTGAATTGTACTATTGCTGAATATAAAATTAGAATGAGCTTTAAATTTGTGTAGCTAACATATAAATTATTAAGAAGAATTTGTGCCTCAACCATATGTTAGCTGTGCTAAGAGTTAATGTATTCATAAATATGCACATTTGAAATAGTTTCTGAACAAAGCACTGCAATTTGGTAAAGAATTTGGCCTTCCTGTCTATTTGAGGACCAGTAATTGTGGGTGTAGAAATAAGAGCAGTGGTGGGATTCTTTATTTAAAATGATACCCTGTACCACTGCTTGCTTCCCTAAGGTCCAGCCCTTACAGTGACCCTGCCTGTCCACTTTACCTTGTCCCCTTCTCCAGAGTCAAAACTGGTGGCAGGGCAAGAGCGGGCAACCACGTTTCTAAGTGAGACCAGTTTAGTTTCAGATGATGAAAGGATGTGTTGGAGGGTTGATGGAGCTTGTTTGAGTGGGCAGAGGTCTGTCCTATCCAAGGGAACTCAGCATTTGGTCACAAAGAAATGCTTTTTTCTCACTGAAGTTTCTTACCTACAGACTGTGTGTAAACAGGCTACCAGGATAAAGAAACCAGGCTTTGGGGGTTTTATTTGTTGACTGTTTCACATCATCAAAGCTCTTTTTCTACTTTCATTGTTTTCTTCTCATTGTTTTTTGAGGTTCCCAGTAATGGTGGAAATCCTGTCAGTCTTGAACCTTTGGGAATTCTCTTCAACAGTCTTTTCCTTCATTTCCTTCATCCTTGCTATCAATGAGTCATGAAGACCTTTGACATGTGATTTATATAGCGCCCTCCCTCCGTATTCTAATCCAGAGGCTCACCCTTCCTCTCCTGCAGACCGGGGCAGCCTCTGAGCTAGCCCCCCAAACTGGCTCTTAGTAAGTCCTCATTGAATGTTTGCTGAATGAGTGGATGGATGGATGGAATGGATGAATGAATGAATGAGACACACCTTCTGGTTTCTTCATCTTCTTGTCCATCTAGTCTTTTAAAACTATCAGTTCCTCACGTCTCTCCTTGCCTTGCAGCCCTCAGGTCCTCTCCCTTCTCAACTATCTCAAGTCTAAAATAATTTGCCTGATTTTTAAGGCCTTTCATAATCAGGCCTCACACCTCCTATCTAAATTCTATTTTCAGTTCAGCATACATCTTCGCACTCTATGGGTGTGGTCTTCTTTCGAGCCTGCTCTACTAAGGGGGCCAGGATGGTTCCTGCTCAGATCGCTGTCCTAGAAACCCTCACCCCTCTCCCCCATCTCCTGTGCAAATCTTACCCTTCCTCAGAAGAGGAAGCCAAGTCCTCACTTCTTCTATAACATCTTCTCTAACTATTCATTTCTCTTCTCTCTCTTGCAAGTCTCCAGATACTTGTTTCTCTTGTAATACACCTTTTAAAGTTTGACTTTGACACTAGCATTGAGGGCTTGGTTTTTTGTTTGTTTGTTTGTTTGTTTTTTGGCTGAATTAGGTCTTTGTTGCTGCGTGTGGCTTTCTCTAGTTGCGGACAAGCCGGGGCTACTCTTTGTTGTGATGCGTGGGCTTCTCATTGTGGTGGCTTCTCTTGTTGCGGAGCAGGGGCTCTAGGTGCGTGGGCTTCAGTAGTTGTGGCTCACGGGCTCTAGAGCACAGGCTCAGTAGCAGTGGCGCATGGGCTTAGTTGCTCCGCGGCATGTGGGATCTTCCCGGACCAAAGCTCGAACCCGTGTGCCCTGCATTGGCAGGCAGATTCTTAACCACTGCACCACCACGGAAGCCCAAGGGCTTATATTGATCTCTCATTGGTTATTTTAAGCCTCTTTAGGGCAGGAGCCATATTCTCTGCATGGTAATGTGGGGCTGTGGGCTTTGAAGTCAGGCAGAATTGAGGTCGGGGCCTCACTCCTCGGTACTCATGTGGCCTTATGGATTCTCCAAGCATTAGTCCTCGCGTGTAAAATAGGGGAAATGCCTCCCCACATGGCTGCAGTGTGGAGCTGGTCTTGGCGCCTGAAAAGCACCTGGAACACACCTGACAAAAATCTGCGCATCCCTCCAATGACTAGGAGAGCCCGGAACATGTAGCAAATATTTGGTAGATGTTTGTCAGCTGACCTGGAGTCAAGTCATGGCTGGGTCTGGAGGCCCAGGGGATGGCAACCATGCAGAATCCTTAGTAAGTGTTATCCTGCCCTTACTTAAAACAGCTTGAGCTTAGGTTATTCCTGGTGACAGCTCTGCTTCTGGGATCTGTTGCTGTTTTTCCATCTGAACCTTGCCAGGAACACGACTGCCTTTAAATTTTCTTTTTTCACTACTTCTTTGCAGCAAGCTCCTCCATTTCATTTTGCAGAATCTTGCTGAGCTGGAGTTGTACGTAGCACTTCTGTTTTTCTGCTTGTGAGGGTATGTGTGAGTGTATGTATTTATGGTAGGACGTGTTGCCTAGCAATTTCTTGGCAGAATTCTGGGCACAGTGACCTTTGTCACCTTTGTCACAACAACACAGTATGTTGATCTGTCAGCCTGTGAATAGTGTCTTAACTGTAAATTGTCTCATCGGCTCTCTTGCTTGACCATGGCCTTCTGAGAAAGGCCTGTAACTAGAGCATCAGAAACCTCCTATCTGTGGGCCTCAGTGTTTGTGGTTGCTGTAGGTGACCCGGAGAACGTGCAGAGGTGTGCGCCAGATGACTTACACGCATATCGACAGTGTAACCGTGTCCTAGGTTGTGGCTGTGCTTTCCTTGAAACAGTTTGAACTTCCTTATTAGTACGCCTGTGTGTTCAAGAAAATTACCTGGCAAAAGCAATTTGCTGAAGTAAATCAATTCCTGGGGCAGATTGCATTAAAATGCTAAGTTATGGAAGGAAGAAATCAGAGGCATCTTTACTTGTAGCCAGAGAATTAGAAGAAGCAGTGGAGGGTCCCCTCGAGATGGTAACCAAGGCTGATGTAGAATTCACGCTCACTCTGTCTGCTCCTCGTGACGTGCTGTCTGATGCTCGGAAAATTCTACTGCTCAACAATCCAGGCGGAGAGCTTCCTTTCTTGATTCCTTCCAAGGAAACGGAAGCGTCCTTGCACTTTAAGTGCCTGGCTCACTGTGCTTTGAAAGTCGAAACCTTCGTAGAAAGAAGTGCCTGGGTTTGGACTCACCTGTGCAGCTGGCTTCAAATCCTGGGAGCGCTGACTTTTGAAGCTGTCTCAGAGTTTGAAGAAAGCACGTCTCTGGAGAGCTGCCACTTTTTTTTCTATGTAGTTTCAGGATTAGCAATACCTTCATGTACTTTTTGAGGAAGGGGAAGTGGGAGCATTTGTTACATCTTTAATCGACTATGAAAACATTTCTTATATTCACACATTTAAAACTCTGCTGCCCTGAAGGTAACAAGAATTCTGTCCGTTGGGCCACAGCATCTCAGCTGTAAGGTGAGGGTGTGGGAGAGTGATCATTCAGGTCCCTTATAGGGAAAAAAAGTCTGATTCTATAGTCAGGTTTCCTCAATTTTATACTATGCCCGTGTTCAACTTAGGTCCTATTAAACAGCATTCAATCTATGCTAATTAGCATTAGGTTATATATTACCTTACTTTCCATTTTTCCTAGATTTTGTTTGTCATCCTCAGTTTTTTTTTATTTAAATAATACTGTTTTTAAAATAAAATAACACAATAGTGTTATTTCCACCATGCCCTTAGTAGCCACTTGATAAGTGTACAGTGATGGCCAAGGGCTTGTGAGAGCCACATATTTGTGAGGAAAGAGCAATGTGAGTCATTTTTTATCTTTCTATAGGTATAGTGTGGTCTATGATAAAGTGCTGATAACATGTGACTGCTCTCATGGTTAATATAAAAGATAATGTCCCAGAACCAAGAAGATAAAGGAGTAGTGGTGTAATGTCCAACTACATATTTCACAATATCATGAAAGTTACTATCTGCATGAGTTTGTAGTCCCAAGAGGAGACAATTAATAGTTAATGGTTCTGTCCTCTTGGACACTGCCTGTGCTTTGAAAGTGAATTTACTGATGATTGATTTAACTCAGATGAAACCGAGTGAGAAAAAAGTAGGTTATATATGCCTACCTGTCATCTTAGCTGTTAAAAAGCAGATGTTTTCCTAAATTGTTATAAAAGCTTTTAGAAGGATTCATAATTTTTGTGCCCTAGTCTCCATAGAGCTGTTCAGTTTTGCAAAGAATCTATGAGGGATGGCAGTAGGAGTGGGGTTGATGGTATAGGAAAATTAACAAAGTGACCCTTTATAAACCCATAAGTTACTCATTCATTAATTTATTCATTCAACTCATCTTTATTTGGAGCACCTATTTGGGCAGACCGGGTGCCAGGTCCTTGTCTGGTTGCTGGGAATACAGTTGTGAACATAACAGAATTTCTGCCCACAGAAAGCTTATATTCTCAGGATACACACAGTCTGTAACCCTGTGACCCACGAGTACATGAGGATTATGTGGAAAGGGCTAAAGTGCTCTGCCTGCATGCAGGGTTTCCTGTATTTCAGGGGTCCACACATCATGCCCTGCAGGCATGTCCTGCCGGCTGCCTGTTTTTGTAAATAGACTTGTACCGGAATGCAGCCGTGCCCATTTGTTTCCGTGTCATCTGTGGCTGCTTTTATACTACAGCAGAGGATTTGAATAGCTGTGCCAGAACCCTGTCACCCTCACAGCCTAACGTATTTGCTGGCCCTTCACAGAAAACATTTGCTGACACCTGCTCTATTTTATTTTTATGTTAAGCCTTTACGTCCTCGATATGTTTTATTGATTTGTTTGTTGTTACACATGGTGGTGAAGCATCTTACGCTGCGTGAGATCAGCCCTGAGTTAAACGTGCTGTGATACTTGAGTAGTGCTTGAATGTGTGACATGTTCTGATTCACTCCCTCATCTTCCCCTCGCCCTCCCTTGCCCACCCTTAGAACAGAGGGTGGCAATCAGGTGAGCAACTGGGGCTGGGACCACGGCCACCGCCTGCGTGAAGCTGGGGGACTGTCACCCCAGCTCATCCGCAGTTTCCCACAAGTCAGAGGAAAGTTATTCTTCCTCTGGGTCTTCAATATTTCCTTTCCCTTCGGTTCTTCACAGCCCACAGACCACATAGAATGATGGGTCCTAGTTTAGAACTAATCTACAAGCAATGGAAGACTTTAGGTTCGGGGCACAGCGCCCTTTGTGGGAGAAGTGATGGGAAGTGGTAGACCCTTCTCCTGGGATTTAGGACTTGGTGCATGAATTCTCCTTTCAGAAGCTGGGCTTGAAGGATGTGAGGGAGGTCAGGGCATGAAACAGTCTCTGGGGAATAGAAGAGGGCAGCCCAGGTAAGGGATCCTCTTCTCCCATCCTTCCAATGAAGGCAGCAGCCAGAAGCATCTTTAATGTGCTCCTTGTCACAGGAAAGGCCAAGCACGTTCCACAATGAAGGAGGCTCTTTTGGCATTGTAACTGCTGTCCCCAGTGCAGAAAAAAGCACTGGTCCAAGAAGCAAAATATTTCAAGGACATTCTTGCTAAAATGTATGTGGGCAGAAGAATTAGGTCCCAGAGAGAAAAATTAGAAATACAGATGTACTATTTTTAGTACCTTTTTAAAAGAAATGTAACAATATTAACTTTACTCTTGTAAAGTTATGAAATGTTCGAACCTAGAATTCATGCCAGTTAAGGTAAAATGGAACTCAGAAGTGCCAGGAGAAGGGCCATTGAGTGATTTTGCACATGATCTAGTTTTCCGATGAGGACAGGTGAAAGCAATGGCATCTTTTCAGTGGAAAACCATCAAGGCTCAGGGAGAAAAGCTCTTCACAGGTCCGAATGGTGGAAGTCGTGCTGGTAAACCACGACTCCCAGAGATGCCCACTTTTGCGTACAATTTTCTGTCTCCTATCTTAAAAAATGAGTAATTGTGGCATTTATTCAATGACTCTTAAGTTTTCAAACTAAAGAGCGGCCCACCCTGTGCCTGGTTGGTTTCCC